CCGTGGTAAAGTAAACTCTGTTGAGAATCGCAGTGGTAATAATTTGTCTGAAGGTAGCTTTTCTGAGCTGGAAAGATACTGTATGTTCTTAGCTCACATGGTAAAGGAAACTCTGTTGAGAATCGCAGTTGTAATAATTTGTCTGAAGGTAGCTTTTCTGAGCTGAAAAGATACTGTATGTTCTTAGCTCCCATGGTAAAGGAAACTCTGTTGAGAATCGCAGTTGTAATAATTTGTCTGAAGGTAGCTTTTCTGAGCTACCTACACATTCGAAACGTGGCCTTGAAAAGAGCCCAATGTAGTCTCATTCACCTCCAACTCAGCAATGTTCCTCGTCTCGAGGATCTGCTTCAGTGTCCAAGAGTCTGATAAGGGACGGAAATAAAGAAATGTCGGTAAAAGCAAAATTCAGAGGTGACTGACCTAAGTAAAGATGTTTATGATAGAAGAATTTCACCTGAAAATGCAATATCTGAACGAACAGATGAATGTGTGAAAGCTAAGGGACACGTAAAAACTGTCCAGGAGTAAAGACGCTGGTTCACATACGTCTGACATAAACAATAACCGAAGGCGTTACAAGAGTTTTGGAAATAGTTGCGCTCACCAAAATACCAATGAAAACTTGGAAGCACATGAGGAACTAGACAGATCTGAAAATGTAATACCAATAATCTCTAATCTTCAAGAAGAAGCATGCCTTCAATCACCCTCTGGATCAAGTGATTACAAGGCAGCTGATTACGTAGGTTTTGGGCATGATTTCTTCTATTTTTCCTTGGATAGTTTTAACTAGGTAGTTATATTTTTTATTCACATCCGGGGTTGTATATGTATGACCAGTCTTGATTGCCAAGTGATACTTTTAGCTCATCTAATTTTGTAATTGTTATTTTTCTGGTTAGTTTTTTGATGGGGGGGGATAGTTTTCATTTTTACAGCTTCCACTATACATATATATGTAGATTTAAATATCATTAATTTTAATGAATGTAGGTTTGCTGCTACAGGGAAGAAAATAGGGGTTTTTTATTAAAATATCAATAGCTTAGTATGGAGTAAACAAAATTTCAAAATTTCATTAAAATATGTCCATAGTCAAACAAGCAAGCTACGACAGTTTATTTATTTTCATTTTACCCCATAAACCCCCTGTTCCCATAGTCCGATCATGCTGGTTCGCGAACTCGTTCGAATAAATGTAGGTTTACACGTTTATACCGAATTTCATCAAAATAGGATCATTTTTGATCGAGTTATCGTGCTAACGGACACACATATATAAATATATACATATACGAATTTGAACGGATGGTGTTTTTGGCCTCTGGGGACCTCAAAACGAAAAAGTAAATCGGTCCCAGGTCCAGGTCTTACTATGAGACTACGGTAATAGCTTATTCCGTATATAGGAAATTCGCTAACACATATTTATATTTCACTAAACTGGAATTACATTTTTACCCACTAAATTGCTGATGTTTGAATTTATACAATCTCTAATTTGCTTATTTATTATTGCTCCAGCCACTATTACCAATACACACTCATCATAGATGGATGACCTTCTTGCAAAACTTGCAAAATCTATGACATTGTCTAAAGTGCAATTTGAAGCCCAAAGTATACTACCGTTAAGTCCATGTTCAAACACAGGCAGTCTAATTTTGATACTTGACCTCACTTTCAACTCATTGATAACTGAATTGCCTAATAATTAAGATCTTTGTTTACAGTTCTAATCAAACAATTTCTACATAGTGCTTTTTGATCTTCATTTATTCTTACGTTGCTATTTAAGGAATTGATTTGACGAAATTGGACAGTTTAGGTTTGTAGTTAGGAAAATCAACAGTATTGAATCATTAGAAATCGTAATAAAACATAATTTAAGCCCATTTCAATTTTATTGCTTTGAAATTGTGTTGGTGTTGTATTATTTTTTGCTACGTATTAATTTAAACGTGCTTAGTTTACTTCTTTCAACCAATTGTAAGTATTTTATCATCTATTTAAATTTAAAAATAATTTAATCACATCACTAAAATTATATCAGTTAAAAAACATGTCACCACTAAATGAAACAGAAATTTTATTAAAAGTTTAAGTTGAAATTATGGTATATCAAATTATATTAGCTAAAATTCTGAAAATTTTTTTTAGAAAGAAGGCCACTTTTAAAGTTGTAATTTTGTGACGCTTAAGTGAGTTAAAATGTGTTCTTATCTTACATTCAGGATGATTGCAAGAATATTAAAAATTTAGAAAAGCCTTAGACAATGTAACCACGATAAATATTGGTTTTATTTTATAACTATGATGTAAATTTGTTTAGGGGTTAAAAATCGTCTGCAAATTAAATTCAATGTACTTTTATATTATTTTGTATGAAGAGTATAAGCTTTTAACATCCTCTTAGTATTATAGCTTAAGGTTAAAGTGCTTTAGCTAAGCCCAATATGATTTTTCGGATAGGCCTAAGTATAAACTATTCTATTCAATTATAAAGTTTTAGAAAACAATATCCATACGGTATATGTGATGTGGAAATTGAAAAGGGACCTCTTGTCGCCGATGCAAAATTTCCAGTACGGCCGATATAAGTGGTTAAGGTCGAAAGTATCAAAATTCGGCTTTTTATCGATTGTTATACCTCATTTGACATAGAACAGGAGAATATCGGTTAAAATATTGAACCGAAGATGTAAGTTAAGCTTGAAATAAATCATTTTGTTAGCCTCTGCACGGTCTGATAAAAGGTACCTCTTGACGCTCAATGTTATTTCGCCATAACAACAAAAGTCCTATAACTTTAACAAAAGAACTCGTAGATGCATAGGACTTGCATAAAGTGATTTGAAATTTAATTAGGAATTCAAATATGTAACTCAAAATTGAAAATTCCCGACAAGAGATCCCTTTACATTTTCCACATCACATATTTTAGAAATATAAATTGTAAATAGCAAGTGTAAAATGTGTTTTAAATTATAAATTGTGGTCACATAAAATAGTGTAAATAACCGGCCTTTCTTAATATGTAAGGTTAGGGAAATGCAACCCTACTCAGAAATTCAAAGGATAGATATAAAATAACATTCCTATCTGTATCTTGAATAAAATGATAAAAGATGAGCGAAAACATGCTTTTTCTCCTAATATTTGTGTGTTGTATATGCTTACTAAAAGTACAATTTCAATTTATAGTCAAAGAAGAATAGACTATAAGTAGCTGTGTATTTTAAGTTGTGCAAAACAGATGACGGTCTGTGCTTGACATTGGCAGTCGGAGGATTTACTAAAAATAAATCAGGGTTTTCTCGTGACCGGCGTCTGGTGCCACATGACTTGCTGTTTCTCAACACTTGAGACAAAATTTTAAGGTTTCTCGCTTATTAAAAATTCTATTTATGTCACACATCTATTTTTATAATTGCATAAAAAGGGATAGTCATATTCACTCCTAATGTGATTTATTTTTTGAGTTGTTGATTTAGATGTTGTTTGCATATGTAGGCCTACATGTTTGAAACAGTGGTGCAGTCGTAAATTTTCCTGTGCCTGTTGTCTCAGAAAAACACAGGTCACCGATTAGTATATACAATTTTTGGAAAAAGTAGAGTAGGAACTTCCTGCCCCACTACACCTCTGGTTATGAATATACAGGGTGTTCATTTGAAAAATTTCCATATCTGTTGTGTGCAAAGGTAAGGCTTTTAACACTTGTTTGTTCTCATTTCCCCCTAATTTTGACATGCCAAATCCAATAAAATTATTTTCAATTTCGAAAAATGCCCCAAAAGGGCCTAATTTCCCGGGTAGGGGTGCTTTTTGAGAAATTTTCAAATGTAAACATGGGTTGGGTGATACATCAATCTAAAGGTCTAATCACCCTGATTTTGGTGCAAACAAAATTTAATTATCTTTAACCGTATTTACAGGGTGGGTCAAAACGTTTTAAAAAAGGACTTTGAAGTTAAGTACCGTATTACCCGAACTACTGAACAGAACAGCGCCAAATTTCTTTCCAAGCTTATTCTTGATCTACTCTTTAAGATAACTTGTAGTAAGGGCATTTTCCATGTTATTTTCTAATTTTAAAAAAATCTCAAATTTGAAGAATAAAAGAAAGCTGAACAAACAAGTGTTAAAAGTCTTACCTTTGCACACAACAGATATGGAAAGTTTTCAAATGAACACCCTGTATGATTACAATTATTATAGATTGCAGGTCTTTAATACTGAATGAATCTGAACACAAGCTTCTAAAAGAAATTTATTAATGAACCGATTTATATGGTTCACTTTAATCACCTGAGGATTGCTTGTTTTTATTTTCTACATCAATTTAATGTTAATTTTCATTACAGTAATTGTAATCGTTTGTAAAAATGCTTAATTAATAACTTTGTGAGTGTTTGAGTACCTTCGTTCTCAAGGTAGCAACCCCTGCCGATTTGCCGAATTTGGAAGCTAGGAAAACGGGTATTAGACCCTTGTTTAAAGAGTTTGTGCCGAAAAACAGCTGTATTTGGCAGCCAAATTCAGCTGCTAGGAAACCCGTCTTTATTAAAAGAAGTACTATTTATTTACTAAAGTTACTTCAGCATAACAGCCTTTGTAAGTTTTTTTGAATCAGTCGTAAAGATAGCTTGTAAACAAGACAAAATTGTTACGAGTGTTTATCGATTAATCCGTAATTATTTCATTATTTTAACATCAAGTTACTTTCTAACTTCCTACAGTTGGAGCCATGAATAATTATCTTAATTTATTTAACCCGTGTCTATAAAACCTTTTGTGATTTTCTCTCAAAAATAAACTAAAACTTGAGGAACTCTTTATTAACCGTACATGAATTTTATTTTAAAACCATTAACGTATACAATTGCACAATCAGCTTACAAAAAATTCTATTGCAAAATAACAGTTAATCACGAGTTTTTAATCGTACATGGGGTTAAATGATGATGTACACTGCGTGTTAGTGTTAGCACTCTGTCCATTGAGAGCGTTGACTGTAGGATGCTAGATTATATTTAGATGTTTATCACCCTCCAATGCTGTTGTTACGACATTTGCATCAGTATCTCTGTAACTTTGAACTGGTCAACAACATTATTGGTGAGTTGCGGTGTACAACTGAATATTACTAAAATATTCAATTTTTTTTAATTCACAAGTTTTTAGGAAGAACTACTACAAACAAGTGTAATAGCCCTATTTTGTGTTAAAACATTTTGACTGTTACAGCTCAAAATATTCTGATTTATAAAATATTTATTTGGTTTAGTTTACATAAAAAAAAGGTTTTAAGACCATACAACTCTGGTATTTAAAATATAAAATTACGACCGAGGTAAATATGTTTTTTAAATGTGAAATCACGTTAAAGGCACTGAGTGAAATGTTCCTTCTTTAAAATAAGTCATAAAATGTGTTCATGTAAAGTCGTCAGAATGTACTTACTTAATAATATGTGATAATTTTATATTCCAGAGCTAAGATTTTACCAAATTAGGTGTTAAATAGCTTATTTCAAAGATTTATTGTTTTGTTTATGATGTGGAAATCAGCTGATCATATATGAAATTATGTTGTTTAAGTACAGAAACCAAGCTGTAGTAGATTTGATTATTTAATTTGTACAGGATGAGGCAGTGAAACGGCACGATTTTTAAAAATCATAAATAATCCATTTAGTTAAAAAAGATAGTTGTTTTAATATAAATCTTAAAAGGAAATGAATGTTTCACCTAAGAAATAATAAATTCCCTTAATACAGTGTCAGTAAAATGGTGTCCTTGGTTTTTGCACACATTGAAATTCTGAGACAAAATCCACCTATGACGGTTTTTAGCGTTTGCAGAACCCCAGCAATCGTTTTGTAGTGCTTTGGCGTGCTAGCAGTGGCTTCAAATTTATTCACCCAAAGTAGGATAGCTTTCCTTGATGGCACGGGAGCCCGTGGCGATAGACTGAGCTCACAACAGACAGTGCTCTGAGCACTAACCACACTATCCATGTTTTTGTAATATGCCTTTACAGCAAACGCACGTTGTACACTCATCCAACGCTCCATGCCTAATGAAATGCCATACATTTATTTATTTCTCTTATATGACTTATCTTCAAATAATTTACCATATCCATTTCTTTCTGTTTTATAAATCAAAATGTATTAATTTCTCATTGAATTTACCTGCTGAAACTAGTAAAATTAGGGCCACTGTTCAATGAGTACAATTTGGTGTTATAGATGTATACAATTTTTCGTTTGTAAAAAAAAATACCTACTTTCATTTCATTGAAAGAATGGCCTTAGTAAACACCTTTGATACCAATTGTTTTCGATCTCTGATAAAGCATAATATACAGTTAGCATATATATAAGTACAGTAAGTTTATTAGTATTTAAAAACAATTATGTAAAAAAAAACTAATTACCAGTATAAATTATCTCCAAAATTTACGTTTTTGTACATTTATTAACGATATATTTCGACAGTAATTATTGATATTATGTACTCAGTAAGAACAAAATTTGTTCTTAATAGCAAAACCTCTTTCAATTGCACCTCTTTAAACCAAAACCCAGGTTAATTGAAACCATATTAAAAATTTCACATCAATTGGAAAATTAGTTAGGCAATCGGAATCGTCCTTGCTGCGTGGATAGTTGGTCCGGCTTAACTAACGGGATGATGTATAGACGACAACACAGATCCCATACACGATGAAGATAAAGTTCAGAAAACAATTGTCAATTATTTTATGTAACAGATTTTGTGTATCCAGTTAGTTGTATAGAGATATTAAGATAGGTTATCCAAAAAAAGAGTTATTTCATGTCCCTGTAACCTTGCAATGCATTTTAAACATTGTTGTTTTGCATTTCAAACATAAATTAACTTGTAATTTGAAAAAAAATAATTAATGTTAGCCTATAGGATTGTATAAAAACAAATTCAGTACCTACAAGTAGTGTCTGAAACGTATCTTCAAAGACATGTTTTACAGCATCTTTTAGTGAAAAGGGTGAAAAAGTCTCTTAATTAAACATGTTGTTTCAGGCTAGCCACTGACGTGAGCTAACGGCAATGCATCTGTCGCGTACCCTCCAATATGCTGTGAGATTCTCATACGCACAGGTAAGCTAGAACCTCAGTGAATAAGGTAGTTTGTTTTCAATCATATCGTTCATTACAGTCTTGAACATCCAATCATTGGTTATCCAATTATCCCTGTGGACGATCAAGTATCTATATAACTTCTTGATCAGCATTGTACGTGTTATTAAATTTACGGAAAGTAAATAAAAGAAACGTCTTACAACACTTAAAAAATATATTTACGCTTAAACTGTTACTCACAAGATGGTAAATATACAAAAAAGATGGTACGGTAAGTGGTGGTGATCAAGTATCGTGAAATTGTGATATATCAACCCTCTACTGTAGGCTACTCAGAATATATGCTCTAAGCTTCATGAAGTTGTTTTAGGTACCCTCAATCTCCTTAAAACTTTACAGAATACTTTAATGTAGGTATCCCTAATTTTTCCAAATCCATGAAAATGTTTATAATTTTTCAATAAAAAAGCAGTTGTCTGAAAGTAGAGACACTTTTATGCTGGAAAACTTTAAGTTTTTTTGGGAGTGAACATGATATGGAAGATTAGAGATGGCTAGAAGCGGTACTGTTATAATATATCACACTACAAATCTGGGAAGTAGGTGTTTACGCTTCAAGGTTGGGAAGTAGGTGTTTACGCTACAAGGCTGGGAAGTAGGTGTTTACGCTTCAAGGTTGGGAAGTAGGTGTTTGCGTTTCAAGGTTGGGAAGTAGGTGTTTACAATTCAAGGTTGGGAATTATGATTGTGTTTATGCTACAAAGACCAGAAGTTGATGTTTACGGTACAAAGCTGGAAATAGGTGTTGCAAGCATGATAGCTTGGTATGTGGGAACTATAATCACTTTCCCAGAAAAGATGCGAACAATACTTTTTGCCACACTACCAGCAACTAATATACAGGATAATTAAAACACAACCTAAAAATCTAATCACAGCAGTTTAATGTACAGTACACTATTTTAACATGTTTTAACAGAATTGCCTACTGTTTATAACACTGTTAAACCTTTTCAATATTAATTTGTGTAATTGCAATGCGCTTGGCCAGTCTTGTCAGATTTTTGTTGATTAGCTCACTCGAGAAACTCGTGATACCATTTTGAGTAAGTTGCCATAAGAGTGAGAACTAAATTTACGACACTTCATCTGACTTTACCTTTCACCAGTTGACTTTACTGGTCCCTATCTGTAAACAAAGACTTTCTGGTCTTCAAAGAGTATTGAAACCATCTTCTTACTGTGTAAGGCCCTTTTAGTAAATGCACCCGGTACCAGGGGCGCAAGTGGTTTTTGGTTTGTTTGGGGGCTTAAGGAAGAGGAAAATTCCCCCATAAGGTAAGGGCGGAGGGGCGCAAATATCTCTCGGGGCCCAGAGCGTGTGTTACATGAAAAACATGGGGCCTGACTGAGTTGTGTGGTAAAAACTAATTTCATTTAACTGTAAACTGTGGTGTTCAATGTGCAATGTCTTCTATCTGCTGAAAACAGTTTCATGTAGTACCTAGTTAAATAATTTAATTTTCATGTGAGTTGTGTGGTAAAAACTAATTTCATTTAACTGTAAACTGTGATATGCAATGTCTTCTATCTGCTGAAAACAGTTTCATGCAGTACCTAGTTAAATAATTTAATTTTTACTAAATTTGTTCATCTCCATTTTCGCTTCTGTAGCTTAGTTGTGTCATTTATTTATATTTTTAACACAAAAAGTATCCTTGCAAACTATGTGTTTGATGTATCGGAAAATCCCTTTAAAAGCCCCAACTTTTTTACGGCAGGTGTTGAATTTTTATGTATAGGTAGCCTACTCTGTAAAACCAGAAAGTACCAAAGTTATGTAGTTGATGGCTTATTTTGGTAATATAATTTCAGAATGGACTAAGGACGCCGCAAGACAGACTTGTAATGCAGACAGCTTTCGTGTTGGCAGGCCTGGGCATCACCTTGTCATCGTTCAGCGTCAAGCAGCTCATGTCCACCAGAAGACAAAACTAAATCATAAGTCTTCTATCCCTCCGATCCAATGCCTGATCTTCCTTTAATTTCTCTACCAAGTATTAATATATAATTTTTGTATCTTTCCCACTTTTTAGTTAAATCAATTAGCTTTGAGGTAAAAGCCTTGATCTTGAAGTTTTGTAGGTTAAAATCATAAAGAAATTTATATTTTGTATAGATCATCAATACTTTGAAATGCACAATGTTTGTGTTCTGGACTGTTGTTACAAATATGTCATTGTAATGTACAGTTTGATGTTTCAATCAGTAATCCATTAGGTGTAAACATTCACCTGTTTAAGTATTTTGAGTGTAAAGACATATTTATTTATGTTCGCCTGAGTGCAATAAGGATAATACTACTAGTTTACTAGTTTTGTAACACTTCCTCAAATGGTTATTGTGTACCATAAGTTTCAATGTGGCCTCTGGCAAAGTAGGATTATTGATTGAAGATTTTATGTTTATTAGTAATGTTCCATTATTAAATAGTATTTATGTATGAACTATTAGTACTATTAATAAAAGCAAGAGATACTCAATCTGTGAACTTGTTATTTCCAAACTCCCTTAGTTACTTTCTGGTATATGGCCGTTGTTAATTTGTTTTTAATTTTGCTATGACAAAAGCAATGTTTTTATCAACAAATTTGTGTCTGATAATCAGGGATTAAAGAGGTTTATACGTATGTTACGACTACTTAATAACTCTCCGTTTTGAACACACCATTTTTTTATGTCTAAATATTCTGGTACTGTATGGATTTGATTAACGCAAACACTAAAATTAGAAATTGACTGTACAACTACAACCAGCTATCAGAAACCAGACTCTTAAAAACATCAGTTATCTCTTAGATTAACTTCTCCTTGAGGTAAAATAAAACATGTGTATGTATTCCTTCTTGGAAAAGTTTGATTTACCATTATAATTTTGAACTGACACCTACTTCAGGTGCGAAAAGATTTTGTTATATTTATTGAGAATTAGATAGAAATTTTTCAATTTTCTAGATAGACAAATTAACAATCTATATGATGGTTCAACCAATAACTAACTACCTTCTGTAATGGTAATCAATATACAATCAGTACCTACCCTAAATTATTTTACCATTTAAAAAAACTAGCCTTTTCAATTCAGTTTTTAAGGCCCGTTTTGCCAGAAGCGTCTGGTGCGTCTATCGCTCAGCAATAATCGCTCCGCGTCAATTGCTGCCCACTGCTTTTCATTGTTTCAGGTTAGTCTATTTTGCCAGAAGACGGAGACGCAGTCGCTAGCGATTATTAGTTTAAGAAACACTGTTTTGATGTTGACTTATTTATTTATGGACGTTATATCTCGACATTATATGTCCATATATACATTATATGTATATCTGGACATTATACAATACAATAATGGACATTATCTCCAGGCGTTTTTTAAATTTTTTCATAATTTTTATGGTGATTTTTAATGGTAATTTTCCTATAAAAACTAGAAAATAACGGGAAAAAATTGGATTTTCTCAAAAACGGCCCGAGCGATTTTGATAAAACTTTAAAATGTTATATTTCTTTAAATTCTGAACAAACGGTACAAATTCCATTTCCGTAAAAATTACGGTTGAACAGTTATTGTAACTTGTGTTATTTCCCCATAAAAAAATTTCATTTAAGAAAAAAGACCAGTTTTGATTAAAATTAGTATGTTATGGTCCTTAGTTCCCATTTCCGTTAAAAGTACGGTTGAAAAGTTATTGTAACTTATGTTATTTGCCATAAAATAGCAAAATATTGAATTTTAGGAAAAAAGCCAGTTTTGATTAAAATGTTATGGTCCTTATTATTTTTTTTGCAAAAATAGTGCAACAAACCCCATTGCTGTAACAATTACGGTTCAAAAGTTATTGCAACTTTTGTGATTTATCCCTATAGTATATCATAGTTACTCCTACCACTTACCCATGATAAAGGTTGTTTACAAGCTTATGGGAGAAAGTATGTGTCAGTTTGCTGATACCATTTATTACCATTTGCTTTTGATTGAAATAACTTCTTATTGTTCAGACTTTTTTAACTCTGGCACAATATAATTTGAAATATGACTCAAGCCTTATGCGTTAACATTTTTTGCTTGTTTAAAGAAGATTCACTTTGCCCAATAGTTGAACAAATAACTATTGCGTGTGTATGAACGGGAGCGTTTCACGAACTCCAAATTTCACCAAGTCCAATAGCATAATCTTGTTCATCTATTTTCCAAGTTCCTATTTTTTCCAAACACACACCTGTTTCCGAAATCATCAGAAAATCATACACTACTAATGCCCTTGACTAATTATATATGATTCACGGGGAGCTTAGGGATAAATAAGAGTTATTGCAGTTATAAGTTATCCCTGCATAGCATGTAAAAGCAGCCATTTTTCTCGGCAGTACGATGAAAGATCAACATCAATGACTACACATTTGAATTCGGGTTAGGAAACAAACAGATTGTTGAATAATAAACATTTTATTAATTGATTTATGTAGCCTTAGTACAAGTTCCATAAGCTCAATCACAACAAAGAAAGTTGAACTAAGAATTAAATTACTATAGTTAATGTAGATTTAGTTTTCAAAATAATACATATCTTGGATTAAAAAACTAGTGAGTTACAAATATGAGAATTTACCAAAAGTATTTATTTGAAATCATTGTTAGCATAACATAAGTTAGCAAAATAAAGACCACTTTGTCGATAGTAAGTAGACAAAACCACTACATCATAAAAAAATATCATGTCTAACAAATGACGATTTGAGGTACAAACCCTCTTACTTACCACGCTTAGGTTAATTTAAAATTACAATATTAAATACGGTTATATATATACATAATATGCATATACACAAGGTGTATTATGTATATATACTTTACACTAGTTGGTAATTACACAGATAGACTAGTTAAATGAATTAAATCTAATAACAGATTATATTACATGGTTGAAGATGTAGGTGACAAAACGACTAGCTTAATACAAATAAATTTGACCTTTGGTTTTAAGTAATTCATCGCATCACAGAACCATCTAGTAAAATAATAAAAATTCATCATCAGTAAATTGTTTAAAGGTTTTTACATTGGTTTTCTTTAAATTACTGTGAAAGTGAGAAAAGTGAAAATAATTTTTGACCAAAGTTTTAGCTTGCAAACTATTTATGCATGGTAAGCCTATTTGCAGTTGTTGCAAGAGACTATGAAATTTCCCATTTTACGGAGATTAAGGAAATCCAACAATATTATATTGTAACAATAAAAACCGAAACTAACAAGAATAATGAATATTATCAGATCTAAAAAGAAATATAAATTATACATATCGATCCTACTGGTTAACCAAACAAGTTATCTCTCAAACTCTTACACCAAATGTCACTTTTTTATTTCATTAGTAATATTAACACAATGTTTGATTAGTAACAAACATAAACTTTAAACTAGTTACACAATTCATAACAACACAAGGAAAAATATACTTATTTAACTGTAAGGTTGAATTTAGTATTGTGATACCAAATATAAACATTAAATACAATATGCACCAAAATAAATGGCGTTGAAACCTATATCAACTGGAGTTTTTACTAGATCAGTTATTTCAACTTATGATTGTTACAGTTTACTGTGTTTTTTAAATACTTCTCTTTCATTTGAGGTATGTTTTTGCGGACATGTTGCTAACTAACTAAAAAGAGCATTATTTTTTGTCACGGGTAACCATCATACTACTGTCTTTACAAATGAAAATCATCAAATTTATTTCTAGAAACTGTTAGAGACCACCCCATCTCTTTAAACAAATTAACCAAAACTATACATAATCTTCAAGAACACTAAGAATATAGTTTCAAATTGAATGGATGACGTATTATATTGAACACGTTGTTACCTGAGTCTAACTGAATTTGCTAACTTCGACTTGTATATGTTGTAAACAATCAAGTCAGTAATCTAAATAAAAAATCCTTTTTATTCATTAAACAAATTTGTAGATAAAAAAAATATTTAATTTGAATTTCCGTTTACTTCTCATAATGGACATTTGCGTAGATTTATGTTTTAATGTATATGATTTATATATAGATTTTGACTCTTTTCAGATACATGTATGTTTTATACATGTTATATATTGAATAAAGACTATTTGAATCTTGAAATAGATAAATCTTACAATTTCAGCACAATTTATTTTCGAGCATATTGTAAGAACATGGAAAATAAATGGGAAGAAAATACTGTGCAAACAGATACACAATTTTACCGCAATGGAATATATATAAAATTGATTTGCACTGAGTGTAATTAACTGTACGCTTTATCGCAAGGAATAACACTAAAAATCAATCCACCAATAAATATTTTGAAAAATTTTGGTGTTAAGATTAATTTAATCAACAAGTGAGTAACAAATACAAAATGTTGAGGCTTAGTTTTACTGTTATTTCAGATTTATGTAATATTTGATTTGACATAACACTTTATAGGATAAGAAAACATTCACACAGAAAGAGCAAAAACGAAATAAATATGATTCTTGGAGTAAAAAACTTTTGAGACAATCCCTCGGACAGGAAATAAATTGTTTTGACCTTTTAACATGTAAAATTAAATGATATAAACATGTTGCATGGTAAAAAAATATTTGAAATTTAAATAATCAAATGGACTGAAGCTAACCTGATTATCTACTTTTTTAAGCTTCTTGTATTATTATTTTGAAAAATATTAAATGTGGAGATTTTGTCCAAATCAAGCCTCAATTTGTTGGTGGTCGATTTATAGTTACAGACAAACCGATTCATATCAGTGTACTTTTATTATTTCTTTTAGAGATGTTAAACTCTTTTTTATAAAGAAATTTAAGGTGAAAGGGTGTGTTTAATATCCTGACTATATTTTCTATCAGTTTTCTCAAAACAATACAAAAAATATCAAGGTAACTTAACATTACTTGAGACTATTTTAGAATTAAATAACACCAAATAAAAAAATTAATCTAAGGCATATTTATAAAAAAAACTACATACACAGATTACATGACTAAAGACGTTAAAACTAAGACAAGAGCAGTTTTAACAAACTTTTTTATGATTAGTCAAACACATAAATTTCTTGAGTGTTTAGAGTTGAAGGATGAATTTGATGTAATGATGTACAGTAAACACATAAATATAAAGAGATGTATTTTAACCACATAGGAGATTCAGCCAAAAAATTGAATGTTCTTAATTACATTATTTATTAAACAGGAAACAAATTTGCTATAGAAATGTACACTTGGCATTCCAAGAAAAAGAAGGCACCATGTACTTAATGTTTTAAAGATGTTACTAAGAATTACTTATATTTCTTATAGCTCAGTGTTCAATCTATTTGTAATTTTTTGTACAAATTCAATAAATGGTTTTTGTAAAATCTCGTTTCTACTGTTTTAAAAAGATATTTGTATTAACATGTGAAAAATATACTTTTAAATGTGGAATCATAATTGTAACAAACAATAATACCTAAATACAAACACAACGGTGTTTAAACACTAATCAGTACAATATCGAGATACATAAAGCTTTGTAGTTATTTTACAAAATGTTAGTTATGAAAAACCAATTTTTACGTAAACTAAAAAAATACTTATGACTAAAACAAAGATATTGCTACACACAGGATTTGAAAATCTACAATAATTCATTAAAGTCCCTCTATATGACTAAACCAGTATTGTGTTACACCGATTATATGAGACAAAGTGAACAATATAATTGTACATAGGACGGGAACTCGAATTTATGATGATAAAAATACAACACTAGACGTTTGTAGATTTTTCTCGTTTCAAGCTCAAAAATGACAAAAAACCAATACTTTGGTATCCTTGTTTAGTTCTTGATTGGCACTGGTAAGAACTGTCTTCTCTAAAAATACCATTGTAACAACCTTTTGACTTCAGTCTTCATCGAATCAGTTTGTTCTTAGAAAAGAATCTCTCCTAACAAAACCGTCTATAGGGATTTGAGAAACTATCACATTCGAGCTCAATACTCATAAATCCTAAGCTGTAATTTGTATTTTATACACTTTTACATTGAAATGTACAGATCGGAAAAATCTAACCTACAAAAAATAGATAACTCAAAACTTCGGTGACAAAGAAGTTTATGAACACACCTGCTTTGAAATACGAACTCGGAATATCAGACGAGTTTAGTTAAAAAATCCAAATATAAAAAATAGAGCGCTCGCTAGTCGAATATTAATTAGTCTGAAAATCTGACGGAACGGTAGAACTCTTTCTTCTGAAAAATTGGACTGCGAGGGAGGAGACGGAACCCCTCTTCTCTGAATGTTAAACTTGTGTTGCTCGGGCAAACTCCTCAGCGCGGGAGGCTTTGCGCTCTCTCTTGGCGAAGAGACCTCCTAGAAAACTCTGCTGATGCTTGGGTGGACCTCCCGCCTTGCAGTGCGGAGAGGAGTCTCGACTGACTGTTGACGCTGACGTGGATTGGAAACTGACAGACATGCCAGAGTCTAGTGACCCCACGCTACCTCTGCGCTGACATGTGGCCTTCTCTCCTACAACTGAAATACATCCTCCCTCACTCAGGGTCGTAGCCAGGGGTATATAACAAGACTAGTAAAGTACAGTAGAATCTCGATTAACCGGGGGCGGATCAACCGTGGTCAATAGATGCCTCTAAAACTATGCTACATAACCTCAAAAATACCAAGAAAATTTTATAAATTGTGTTTCTTCAGTCTAATATGTTGAAATAAGCTGTATATTTAATTATTTGTGACCATTTTTTATATACAGTTTTATTGTTTTGAAACATCACAGTTCATTTGACAAAAAAAAATGAAGGCAAAACAAACATATAGCCATCGATAGCTTCTGAAGCTATCCTCTTGCACTGACAGACAATCGACAGCTCCTTGCACATCTGTCTGCAGTGGCTTGCTATTTCACAACAGTTTGTGATTGGGCAATCAGTAACCATGACACCTTGAGTTATTATCTTTATCTTATTTTACAACTGTAATTATTATCGTTAAGTACTATGGTTAAATACTTTTTTTATGATTTATCTTAATGTTATGTTTTTATCGACATTCTTCTGTCCTGAACCAGCATGTAGCAGTAGCCTATGATTACTAACAGTAGTGTACTAGAATTTCTATTGTTCTGTTCTTTACGTGATTTAATTGCTGAACAGTGTTTGGAATTTTTTGTTTGAGTAAAATTTTGAGTAAGCCGTAAGTTTAAACGTTACAGCTTTTATTACTGAACATATCATGATTGCGCAATAGCCTACTAATTGTATATTGATGATGTAATATGCAAATTATTACATTAACGTCCATTTATACAGTTTAACGCTATTTTTATGGGATTGTAATATATTTTTATGGCATGTTGGATTAACCGTGGTTACCCTGGATAATCAAGGTTCTACTGCATTTGGATTTTACTTCTTTCAGGTAAGATCAACTTTCTTAAATTTCAGTATAATTTATGTGCAAACTTCACTAACTTATTTTGTGCCAATGATAATTTTTTATTTATTAAATGGTCTAGTAAACTCCAAACATAAGGCCAACACTACATTATACTTTATTAACTACAGCAAATAATGTAAAATTTTTACTGAAAAAAAAATCTTTAAAAAATTGTTAAGGTTATTTATGTACACATTGCATTCTCAAAACTTTATGTTCGCTTATGAAAACTGATAAAAGTCTAAAACCTGTACAGGGAAAAACATGATCAGGCTCAAATTCAGTTCAATATTTATGTGTGTTACAAGTATACTTCGTAAGGCCTACAGACAAAGAGACCCTAATACTTTTGGGGTAAAAACCTTTTTGTAATTCAATTTTACAAAATTATTTTTTTATATTGACCTTCCCAGTATTCCCCCATATATATTCCTGGCTACGCATCTGACTGGTGAATACCTTTAAAAACTGTTATATGCCAAATGTAAATAATTCCTATTTTTCTAGGTAACATATATTTACAAGTTCTATATTATTACGAGGGCTGTTCAGAGAGTAAAACATGTATTGCTCTATGCAATTTTTTTTAGTTCTACATCCAATAAAACTTGAAAGTAAGAAAGAGATACAAGAAAAATATATAGATATTTTTTATGTGGAAAATTATGACCTTAAATTTACTTTTGTACAATCAAAGCATGTTACGTGTCTGGACAGCACTCGTATAACTAGTCAAAACCAATCAAAGAGAATAAAATGCCTTTCCATATTTACAGTTCCAATCTTTGGTATAAATTGTAAAAAAATCAACAGGGTGTATTTATTATTTGCTTGTTTTTCTATCCTCATCTAGGTCGATGATATAGTGTTTTATGGCTTTTTACAAAATGTGTAAATATTAAGTCTCGCTCATGAATATTTACTGTAAAATAAGTTATATTTAAATTATAGCCTAATAGCCTTTTTACAAAACCTTAGGCAAAGAATGTGCCTAGCAGAAGGTGGGCCCTTGATAAATAATGCTACTACCAATTTGTAAATTAGTCTTATCATTAACTACTAATACGTAATAATGAATGAAGAATGTTTAAAGAATTAAAAACTGCTTAGAACAGTTCAGGATTTGAATGTATTGGGAAATTATCATGATTCAAGTTAGTTGACGTAATTTACTTGTCAAATGTAATGAGCAAGACCCAGTAGTTCTGAATAGCTAACAATAACGTACGTATTAGGTTGTATTTAGTTCATAAAGGTTATTTGTACAGTATCAATGTCATAAGGTCGTGATAAGATCAACATAATTTATAAACAAATATTGTAAAACTAAATGAGGATGGAGAATTAAATAAAACAAATTATGTACACAACACAAACTTAACCCTTCCCGGACGGCCTATAATATGTATACAGACAAAAAAATTAATAAAAAATAGAAAACTAAAAAATATCTTTTTTACATCTGTAATTTATAGAATATATATCTTTTGCGCAAAATATATACAGGGTGACAAAAAAGTCTGGAAACGGCTTGATATCTTTTTAAGTAAATTCGTTAGAAAATTCAGACCTTTCACATCAACTTATATGTATGACAACTACTTTTTGCAAGCATTACCATTTTTGTACCTTCACCAGGGGACGGCCCATGAGGAGTAGGTACATAATCTTTAATGTAAGCGTAGGTTGATATGCACATCATTTTAAAGGTCTGGTCAAGTGGAGTTCATTGCCGGAAACCGCGTCAAAAAAGGTTCATCCACTACAAAATGGCGGCATTTCAAAGTTCTTGCGGAATATACCTGCACAGGCCTTAGTAATGGTAAATACTCATAGTCAAAATCAGCCGGGAAATCTGAAACCCGGTTAAATTTGTTTTGAAGATTGAATAAATTTAGTCTATGAGCTAGTTGACTTTAAAATACAGTTTCAGCTTTTAAGATAATGTTTCATACGAGTATTTACTATTTACCAATATTAAGGCCTGTAAAGGTATATTCCACAAGAACTTTGAAATGCCGCCATTTTGTAACGAATGAATCTTTTGAGATGCGGTTTCCAGCAATGAACTCCACTTGACCAGACCTTTAAAATGATGTGCATATCAACCTATGCTTACATTAAAGATTATGTACCTACTCCTCATGGGTCGTCCCCTGGTGGAGGTAAAAACATTAAAATGCTTGGAAAAAGTAGTTTTTATAGATGTAAGTTGATGTGAAAAGTTTGAATTTTCTAACGGATTTAGTTAAAAAGATATTAAGCCGTTTCCAGACTTTTTTGTCACCCTGTATATATTTTTTTATATATATATTTTTTTAAACCGTTTTTTTTTTACGAAGATTGATGTTGTTAGCCTATAACAATAGATGTTGTAATAATCGGCGGATATATCCTCCTATCGGATATATCCACCTACCGTCCTCTATGCACAAAATTATAGCGGATACATCCGCCTATAGTCCAGGAAAGGTTATTGCAACCACATAAAATAAAGTATATGCGGTTTAAATTGATGAAAACACAAATCAAGACGAAAATAATGTCTGAAGTTGGAATGAATCTAATTAAGTAGACTCTTTGTAAACTATTACTTGTATTGCACGGATAATATTTCAGCTGTGGATATATGCTTAAAAGAATATTTAAAAAAATATGTTTCCGTTCAATTCTTATTACATTATTTTTAAACAACCTAATAAACCAAATCAGCCACATGTTACAACAAAGTTTTGTCTGTTAGAATATTGTTTCTGTTCTTTAACTTTTGAGATGAAAAGTGTTTTCTATGTTTAGCTGTGAAGTGTAAATAAACTAATATGAACTCTAAGAGTTTATGATTGGCTTGCTTTCAGTTTAGAATGTTAATGTCTCGTGGCCACTAGGTTTCGAAAACATGTTGAACAAAAAAATTGAATTGATGAAAGTTCTATACAAAATACATGCAATAGTATACCAAATTTATACAGCATTTTTGAAACTAAAAAAATATAGCTAATATATTCACCACAATTTAATTATATTCCACAAAAGACTAATATTTGATTTTTAAGTTGCATAATGAAGCATAAATTAAATATAAATAAAATGCTTGTAGAAGCACAAGCTAGCACAATGACTTAATTAAGGAACTTAACCTAATGTAAACATTCAATTGGCTTGAAAATTTACAAATGAGAAAAAAACAATAAATAAAAGGTAACAAGATGAATAAAGTTGAAATAAAGTGATGATGGTGTCATAAAGTGATGTCGAATTGAATGTTTTAGGAAAGTTCAAGTTTATCCAAAATAATATATTTTAAGCTAATTTATATTTTATTTATTTTGTATATGATATACTTTAATTAGTTTATGTGTTTAACACAAATTAAACCAAAAAAAATAACTGTAATAGTAATCAGTCCTGTTTTTTTTAGAATTTCCAAATTAAAACCCAAGATTGGCGGAAATACAGGGTGATTGATATAAGTGTGCCAGCCGTTTTATTCGAAAACCATAAGAGATATCAAAAAAAGTTAAATGGTAAGTGCCTTGGACTTTTTATTTAAAAAATTGTAGTAAAGTCGAAAAAATTATTATAGCCGCCATTTTTCCAATATGGCCGCCAACTTTGATTTTTCTTATGGAACACTCTGTATTTTATGACGTATTCTGGTAGAAAATGTAATTTTAAGACGATTTTATTCTTGTGATTTTTTTCATAAACCTAACCGTTTCAAAGATAATAATGGTTTAAGTTGTGAAATTTTGAATGGTTTTCGTATAAAACAGCTGGCATGCTTGCTTAGGCCTTTATCGAAACTCTTTCTCATGGAGAAATTTCAAAACTTTAACCATTATTATCTTATACCATTATATTCAAATAAAACGGCTGGCACACTTATATCAATCACCCTGTATAACTCTTAGCATCTGTGTGTGAGCTGTAAGTAATTATTCAATAATCTAACAATATCCTAAATCTCCCAATCATACACAAATAAATAATAATAATACAGTGGACTCTCTCTTGGACACGTTGGGACTGATACCCTTTTGAACAAAAAAATTCCAAACCAACCATCTTAATACATAAAACAAGAGCGGATGTTTCAAAAACACATAATGTGTAGAGTTCTACAATGCTGCCAACTAATATTCAATAATAAGTAGAGGTGTGTGAAGCAACAACAAATATCATATATTAAATAAAAGAACCTGTAACTTATTGCCGGAAATTTCAGTGAGCTGCTTTACTTGCCTATTTCATAATATTTTTACTTGCAGAATCATATTGTTATGCACGTTACCTATTTTATAATATTGATTTTACAAATAGATATGTTTTGGTGTAAACAAATAAATCATTTGTAAGATTTATACTGAAACTTTCATTTGGTTTACATTGATCAAATGAGAGGATAGAAACAGACCTAAAAACTACAAAGTATATATAGCTTCAAAACAACAAAAATACCAAATTTATCAGTCTAAAACATTAATCCTAATAGTTAAGTATCAAGTAAAAATTTTTCAGACTTGTCTTATTTTTATAATGATTTTGGAGTCACTTGTTTTGGCTATGTTTACAATAGTAAAACATGTCTCACACTGCTTACACTTAACAAAATTTTCATCATTTGCAATGCCAAAACAAAAAATTATAAAACAATTAAAGCAGTAGTTACATGCAAAGAATAAATTAAATGAGAATGCCTTCGCAAAGAAAACGCAACAAGAACGCGCACCTGTATTGCGGGTATTGCATTGACTTTCTGCAGGCGTTTTTCGTATATGGATACTGACTCCCTCATGAATTGAATAGGTTTTTTGAGCACCACTGAATCGAAATCATTTTCGATGCATCGCACACCCCTAATAATAAGGGATACAAGAGATGTAATCCGTACAGCACTATAAAAGTGAGTTGTGAATAGAAAAATTGTTTGCTTTTTGAACCAAACGGATCGGATCAAGAGAGAGCCTACTGTAACTGTACATTCAAACATTTCATGCCACATAAATTATTCACAAGCAGAGATTATAAATAAATAAAGCATTAAATAAGGAATTATCAAAGCCGCTTTGGTGACCTAATAACTTAAACTAACTGTACAAATAAGTACAGTAGAACCTCGGTGACAAGTATCTCATGAGGAATATTAAATAAGATTGGTTATCAATCAGATTGACTTATCAAGATTAAAAACTTGATATCAAGGTCGACTTCTTATCGAGGTTTGTGATAACATGTGATTAGGGGTAGTATACAATTCTATTTGATAATGGCACTTGTTATCAGGGGTGACTTGTTATCGAGGTTCCACTGTATAGAGAGCGTGATGTGTGAGTATCAATAATAAGTGTTAGGAATACACTCACACTGGTCATGAATATCAAGTAAGGAATTGCTGAGGGCAGAACGCTTAAGTTGTGAAGAGTGAGGTAGCTCGACGGAGATAGGCTTGGTATCGGGAGGATTGTTGTTGACTGGAGACTGTATACATGGACACACCTCTACGTCGGCCACACCACTGTCTCTGTTCTCTACTCCCCCACTGCCACCAGACCTACAAACACAAACATTATTACATTAATAACGAACGGGCGGCCGACCCTCAAAATAATGGGCTGGACAGATCATAAGGTAAGCTAGCCCCCCAATTCCTAGGTTCAGGAAATAATGGGTTAGTTTCCAGATCAAAAATTAAATTCGTTACCAGCTGATAAGTTGGCAATCAAAACATTACTTTTAGCGCATTAATTTTACTTCTTTTCTAACAATCCTTAAACCCCATTGTCCGTTACTGTACCACACAGTGCTGTAAAGTAAGTAAACAATGTGATAATGTTAATTTTTTCGATTCTAAAAATTGAATTGAAAAGGCTACTTTAAAAATCTGTTGAAGGTTACAAATATTTAAAAACCACATTGCAACCACTATAAAGCCAATTTATTCAGGTAAGCTTACCTTCCACCACGGTTGCTCTTTTGACGTTCCAGTTCTGCTTCTATCCGCAGACTTTCCATCTCGTCCATCTCACTAATACTTTCCCGCATATCCTCAGCGAACTTGCAGCGATCGTGGTCGTTGCGGGCATTGAAGATGATCAGCGTGTGACTGTCCACCCGCTGAGAAAGTTTGATCCCGTATGCGTAGTCTGAAAATACCATCAGATAAATATATTTTCCATATGTTGTAATAGAGGATATATACATAATAATGAGACAACTTTCTTTTCTCAAAATGATTTTTGTATTTGTTTAGGTGGGCTGTAAACCACATGTCTCAGAATTTTACAGTGAATTTACAGTTTTTACAATTTTTTTTTTAGGGGTTATGCAAAAACCATTGTTATTGTCTAATGTTGACCCTTTGTTTTTATAAGTCGATCTTAGTTGTTGTTGCATTAATTGAAAGCCCAATGAGAAAAGGCATCTGGATTCAGAATCGACTCTTCTTGGAAAGGAACCAGCGACCTTCAGATTGGAAGGTGATACAACTACTCAGCTACCCAGAAGATGTTATTTAAAAGCTAGCTTCCGGTACTTAATTAAATTACACCAACTAACCAAAAGTCCAAACCATTTTTAAAATACCGGGTATAATGTGTTTTTAAATTTTAGCTTAAAGGATCAAACATTTAATTCTCATAAGCTATTTTTGAGGGAAATGTCATCATAGCGCAGTGAACTTGCAGATTAGAAATATTTATATTTATAGTTTTTTAATAGATTCATACAAAGAGGCTCATGATAAGGAAATTTACTCTTACATCAGCACCCATGATAAAAATAAAATTGTTTACTGTTATGGAGCATTGCGACTTTTGAGCCTATTAACTTTTTGGCACCAACTATATAAAGTACACATTTTGTAATTTGTTGTAACCACATCTTGATTAATGGGTTTTTAGATTTGCTGCTATGAGGAAAATTTGTATTTTAAATGGTTTACATGAAATAGAGGAATTTGATAAATTTTGTCACGATTTGTCAATGAATCGATAAATAAATCTACTATTAATTTATTTTAGATAAAGATATCATGCGAGAAAGCGTACTGTGTTTAAACTATAAACACTATTTTAAGAATTTTCTAAAACCAATGTTGGCACAAAAACCAATGCTTTTTTGAAAATTTATACTAGTATTATTCGGACACACATATTCAAAATTTTTTACAAAAGGTATTTTTGACCTTTAAACAGTAGAATGACCCTGGACCCAGCTCTTGCCATGTAGACTTCAAGAAATGGGCTACTTTCCTGTTGGAAAACTCACTAATACTTACATGGCACTTGAAATAGAGTAACAACTAGGCCTTGAAGAGAGAAGCTCTGTCGGAATGTGTAGGTAACTGAACTCTTCTTCTTACTCAGAATTTTGGTAATAACAAGTAAGTCGTTAAACAAGAAGACCTCCCTTTGATGGACTCCAGGCCTTTCCTTTTTGTTGACGTCTGGCACTTCATATAGCCGACAGTAGCAAACAAGTCTTCGATGGGGCAAAGCCATATTCTGTTGACATCAACATGTATTAAAAGTCATTGTTATAGCCTCAAACTGCTATATTGACTATTATGGGTTAAAGTACCTGTTAACACATGTAATCAATGTGAGGCACAGTATGTAGGCCTATCCACCAATAGCCTCAGAACCAGGATGAATGGCCATAGACAAGATAACTAGTAGTAATACAAGTAGTAATTTAATTCAAATTATTTTGTTTGTTTACCATCTGGTAAAATATTCGTGGTGACAACATTTGGTTCTACTATTCTATAATCCAAAAGATATTTTTTTACATTAACCATGACCATTACAGTAATCAACAATATAAATCAAATGGTTTATAGAAGTACATAAACTTACCGGTTTTTTCCCAACAATTGTAGACTGAACTTTGAGTACTTGAGTGACATGGTCAGAGCCAGGTTTGAACTCATTTGCTTTGACACGCTCGTAGATGCCCACCAGCATGTCTCTATCTATGTCACAGCAATCGTCAATGCCTGTAAATGAGAAACATTGATAAGTTAACAATTTATTCAATTATTTATCACAGTAGAATACTGTTCACCGATTTTACATAACACTAGTGAGACAAATTGTGAAATAACATTTTTACTATAAATAGGAATTGCTAGTTCAGCTCTAATAAACTTTTTATCTTTACCAAGCTTAAAATAGACGACAAAGTACAAAATATGTTTTTAGGAAAAAGCATTTAGCTTGTATTTATTTATTTTCATGGACAAAACTAATTTGCTTTTCAATATATACTTACTATATGTAAATACAATATTGCAATGTGCCTATTAACCTAGTCAATAAAGGTAGAAAAATGCTAAGGGAAAGTTGAACTTTTGCAGTGTTAGTATACAAGGTACACGATAAAAAACTACCAAGTCCCGACCTCCACCCCTCTTGCTTTCCTCCCACCCCCTCAAAAATATCGCAAGAGCAGTTCTTTGGACAAATACTCATAGATCGAAAAATAATATAGTTAGAGACGCGATTTTATTGTGCTGTTGCTCATCAGCATCTATTGAGGGTTTACCACCAGATTCAAGCTTTGTTAGGTTTTAAACTTCCAGCAGAAGAGTGGGGTTGGCAGTATACATCAAACAATAGGCTGATACCTAAGCCAATGACGAATCCCCCTGCTCCAAGTGAACTGCTCCTATTAATATCTTGCAACTGTAAGACATTGTGTGTTACAAACTGTAGCTGCCGAAAAGCCTGGTTTGATTGCACGTCTATGTGCGGACACTGCAGTGGAATACATGGACCAAACAGATGACATGCTGGCAAACAATCCTTTGTAAACGGCTTAAAAGAAAAATTAGTAAAAATATTATTCGTTGTGCAGGAAATAAGAAGATGTAAAAAATCTGTTTGATGTATAAAAAATCTTGCATTTATTGTATCGCAAAACTAAGATTTTTAAAGTAAACAAGAGAACCTAGACAGTACAATTTTATTATTTAGTGATAAAAGTGAACTAAATCTATATTTTTTTATGGAAACTTTGAAGTGAAAATTATCACATTGCTGCTCTCTAAATAACACAAGACTAAGGATACGAGTAAACAAATTCGAGATACGAGTATGGTGCATCTCAGTGGCGAGTGTCAACGGGACAGCGGCACTGCTAGGAGCGGCGTGGCACGGTACCCACTACTGTTTCGTCGCTCTCTGTGAAGCCATTATTATAATGGTAAGCAATGTTAGATACATCTTTTTAAAGCTAATTAAATTATCTCTAAGTTTTGTCCGAGACGTTTCTTCCCACAGTGTAACGATAAAAAGATATATTTGGTTAAAGTAAGATTTTGTAATTAGCAGAGACATTTTTTGCATGTATATAAATACTACAGTTAAAGTAAGCTATTTACATAAAAAACGCATACTAAGTAATTTGTTCGCCATATTGTATGGTGTAATATAAAAAAAAAGACGTAAGTAATCTAGTCTTACAATAAAAAAAAGAATCACGTCTGTAACTATATTAGTTTTTGAGCTATGAGTATTTAACCAAAGTACTGCTCACGCAATGTTTGGGAGGGGTGGGGGTCAGGACTTTGGCATTTGGTTCTGTCTACTTTGTATACTAACACCCTGCAAAAATTCAGATTCCCCTAATTAGTTGCGACATACAACCTTCATTGACTGGGCTATATATTTAGTGCTTTGTGTTGTGTCAGTTAGACATTTTGAATTTAAACTGTGATATCTTATTTTAAACTATTGTTTTTGTAACTGCCATCTAGGCCTACTTCTGAAGAAACCTTTGAAACAGGCGGAATATCAAGCATTTTTTGTGTTTGTGCATATATTTTATACGTTCTTTGACTCATCTCCAACCATTCATCAGGTCAGTTAGCTGTGTCCTCTCCATCCTATTTAAAAGGCAAAATATGTGTTTTTGATTATTTAAAAAAATAAGCAGCTGTTGCTAGAATTATTTAAGTTCAATTTTACGATTTGGTCAAACAAAAAAAGGGATAATGTTAAAAGAAAAGCAAAGTCTAAAAAAGTAAAAACAAAAGTTTAAAATACAGTAGTAAAATTGAGATGTTTTGAGGTAGTGTTACTGTCAGTGGAATGTAATGAAAACCAACAAGGATATTTGTGACTTGTGGTTCTAGCAAATCCTTCAAACTATGGAAGTACTCAGGTACATTCTCAGATGTTTATTATGTTAAGGCAATAAAATCGGAAATAAGTAGATTAGATCATGTACTTGCTTTGTTATTTCTTATCATTAATCATTGAACACTTTTTTTGTACTGTTCAAGTCAAGATCGTCATTTTAGTCTTGTAATCAAACGGTTTTTTTCCATTTAATGTCTACATTTGTGATTTATCGGGAATGTGAAATAAAATAACCTAACTTTAACACACAAGTTAAACTTGTTAAGTTTTATAATGTCAGTTACAGGGGTTGCATGAGTTTTATAAATTAAAATTGGGATTGAGAGACAAAAAATGATTTAATACTATATCAACTTTGATCACCCTTTAGTAATGAGGCAGACTGTTTTCTTCCTATTCTAGAAGGTGTAGAACTAACAATTTAAATGATGCTCATTATTACAGAACATTTTAAGCACACAAAACAAATAAAGAAAATCACAAACGGGCCAAGAATTAGAGGCGTTAAGGAATAGGAGGCTTGAAGACTAGTACACCTCTGAAAGGACTATACCTATATGGCTCATGTAATGTACTAAAACTAACGTTACATTTTGGAATCAAAATTTACCTCTGAGATTTTTAATAAAATCGTCTAGCTTCATACGGCGTTCAGGTTTAATATTCGGAGTATGCAGGTCGGTGTTCAACATGATGATGGCAAATGCCAGCACAAAAATGGTATCCATATTCCTCAGTCTCGCCACAACGTCACGGTTACAGTGGCAATATCTGTGACTAAACACTTCCATCAGCCTCTCTATCTTCTGCGCCTCTCCTGGCATACGAAAGTATGTCTGAAACTTGCGGAGAGCCACATCCACCTGCATCCCCGATAGATCCAACTCTTGAGCAAAATACCTGTAAATACTCACATGTTATACACATGTAATACTAAAATGGTACTTTAATGATACACAACAGGTGAGGTTAAGTAGCCAAACATTTTAAATTCAAGTAAATGTATTTTTTAATGTACAAATAACCTAACTTAACCTGACCTGGAGTGGTGGATACTACACAAAAACCTCGGTGTGGTCAATACGATAAAAAAGTGAAATTACAATTATAAACATAAATCTTACAAAGTTAACATGTTCACTAATAGGTACTCGACAATTTTGGGTTCAAATTGATTGCTTTTGGCATTATTTCACCATGACATACTACAAAACACAATTTGATTTTGCTATGTCAACTCTCTTATGTTACATTTACTATATCTTCAAAAGATAAAATATTTAAGTGAACTTATTTATCTGGTATATAAATACTGCTAAAGATCACAGGGAAGTGAGGTACAGAGGAAACATTCACTGGTACACTTAAGTGGTGTCCAGGACAAAGTCCAAAACCGACCCCTCGCCCTCATGTACTGCGCTGACGGTGGAGGAAGACCTGTGCCCTGTGTGATAGTAATTCCCCACAGTGTTTGCCGCTCAGGCTCTTTCTTACTCATATTTCCGGCACAACATACTACGGCACACGGTCGTACCAGAAGCAAGTTTTCTCTGTACCTTACTTCTCTGTGTAAAGATCAAAATTGTGTGTTCTCCATACCCTAACACTTCGCTGTTAAAAGAGTTCTGCAGATTTCCGAGATATTCTCCAATCATTTGTTTGCTCAGACCCTTGCGAGATATGAGGAACCTCGCAACACTTTGAGGTGAGTTTTCTAGGAAGCCTTGACGCACAAGGTATGAGATTCCTCTCTCGGGCTTCTTGTTGAACAAGTTGAGTCCGACCCGGTACTGCCTCTTACGTACCATCTCTGATGCCTGAACATACATAAAATATGTTAGCTAGGCTTACATACTTTAATTGAGTCCTATTCAGAAATTAAATCAGGCATGGAACCAAGATAGAAATATGGCTTCTTGAATAGAAATAAAAACATTTATAGAAAGGAATTGTATGAATTCCGTAAACAGTGAAAAATGTAAGATATTTTTCTGCAATCTTTTGACTCAAAATAGATTCATAACAATTGAAATTCCACAAAAAATTGTCAATGTAAATTATAATTTGCACTTTATAACATTTTCAATGGATCTTTTAAGTAAAATTAGACTTTTTAGGCAAAACACAATTATTTTAAGCAATCATAGAAATGAGAAGTTTCCAGGTACAATTGCTCTTTTTACATTTTTATATTTTATATACAAAATGTATTAGATACGCTAGGTTTACCAAAACCATATTTTATTCAAACTTGTTATAAAGAAAACAAATATTTTAAGATTTGAACAGCTACAAAACTTAACTTAATTATTGGTTTACCCATGCACAAAATTTAAAAAAAATCTTCCACTCTTAAATAATTTACCCCTAGATATATTCAAAAGCAATACCAACAACACACAAACACAAATTGTCAAATCATGAAATACAAAATCCACACATTACTACTTTTCTACGACAAAAGGAATGTTTGATCAAATTATTGCTGACTGAATGACTGGATGAATAAGAGTTGCCAGAGTAAAAGTGAAAGAAATTTTCAGTAACTTACTACACAGGACCTTAGAACACAGTCAACGTTGATATAAAACACTCGAAAAAGGGATGAAAAAGGGGTAATCTATGCAAAGTCCTGCTGAACTCATTGTGTAGAACTCATTTGGTGGTCTCAATGTCTCCAAATTATTGGCCACATTATGAACCACTTTGAGAAACGTCTAAAAGAAGCACAAACAACAAAATGGTAGAATAAACACAAGCTCTTACCAAGCAAAACATTACAATCCATCACACACTAGATATGAGCTATCAATCAACAGGAAGTGTATGAATCAATTCTACGAACACACTTCCTACCCAACTAATTTTTGTCACAAATATCCTAGAAGTGTCAAAATAAATAAAAAAATTGTTAAATAGCCAAACAATCAACTCGAAGCAGTTTATGAATCAATTCTACTAGCACAATTCCTAACTGATTTATTTTTGCATCAAATATTCTGAGTGTCAAAATCAGTAGTAAAATTGCTACAAAATGAAATTTTGTTTAATAATTGAACAAGCGACTATAGAGCATTCATACACACAAAGCAAAACATTTGGCGACAACATTACTACAGATTAGCTGGCGAAAACAGTCAGATATTCTTGTGATGACCACCAGAAAACCATAGCGATTGCGAACCTTGTAAAAATTGTGTTGTTCGTGAGGAAAACCTTGACTGCCAGCGGAATCTTTCACCAGATTGGACTGGGACTGGTGGTCTGGAGACCCTGGCTAAAGAAACATTCATTCTTACATTCTAGGTGTAAAAGCAAGCTTACCTGATTGGAGTTTTAATTAATTCTAGCACTACACAATATTACATTATAATCCTCTGTCAACTGACCAGAGTAGGGTTTTCAACAGGGAAATATTTGAGCAGACGACAAATAAACTACTAAAAGTCATAACAAATCAATTTAGATCCGGATGAATTTAACAATTTCTTTATAGACTCAATAAATCAGTTAAGCAAAGGAACTAATCTCGGTCCCAATAATCCAGTAGAACTCTTGAGTAGTATTCCAAAAAACACAACAATGTTTACATGGTCAGAAATTTCCTCAACTGATGTAATACAAGTAGTATCTAAATTCTCCAACTCTAATTCAATGGATTATTATTGGCTGTCTAACTCAATACTGAAACAAACCATCCATATAATAAGTGAGCCACTTGCTTTTATTTTTAACAAATGTATGTCAGAAGGATACTTTTCCTCATTGCTCAAAATGTCTAAAGTGATTCCAGTTTTTAAAAAAGGAGATACAAATTTACATCAAAATTACAGACCTATCTCTATTATTCCGATATTCTCTAAAATATTTGAATCTCTAATGTACAATCAACTTAGTTTTATTTTTTCGAGTCCCAACATTTATTTTCTGAATGCCAGCATGGTTTCCGTCCTGGTAAGTCTACCACCTCGGCAGTACTTAACTTAACAGATTTATCACTAAATGCATTTGAAAATAAGGAGTCGGTTTCGCTAGTTTTGTGTGATCTTAGTAAAGCCTTTGATAGTGTTCCTTTTGATGTATTACTACGTAAATTATCATATTATGGCATTGAAGATGGCACAATAAAAATTATTCAATCATATTTGTATGACAGAAAACAGTATGTATCAGTAAAAAATAAATGTTCTGCTATGAAACCTGTAGAGACCGTTGTCCCTCAGGGTTCTGTTTTAGGCCCTTTCTTTTTCTTAGTATACATAAACGACTTGTCTCAAAATCTCAATATCCATTCAATAATTTATGCTGATGACACCACTTTACTAGCCAGTCACAAAAACTTAGAGTACCTGAAACAGGTCACTGCAGAAGCTGAGGAACAGGCTCTTGCTTTGTTTTCTTCAAATGAGCTACATTCTAATCTTGAAAAGACACAATATTTGACATTGAGTCTCAAGCAGGAAATTAGACTAGATTCTGTCAAGCTTTTAGGATTTCACATTAATTCAAAATTAAGTTGGTCAAATCATATTGAGGCGGTTTGCAAAAAGTTATCAAGAGTAGATTGCTTATTATGGAAATTAAAAAAATTTGTTAACCAAGAATATTTGAGACTATCGTACTTTGGTCTGTTTCAGTCCCACATACTCTATGGCATTCTAGTTTGGGGACATTCCCCTCATGTAGCTGATATTTTGACGATTCAAAAAAAGGCAGTTCGTAATATTGCTAATTCAAGATCCCTATCTCATTGTAAACCTCTTTTCATACAATTAAAAATTCCAACAGTAATTAATTTGTACATTTTTCAAGTATTACTCTACCTACACTAAGTCAAACTTGCATTCTTTCCCCCTTAGATCTGACACTCATGAGTACAACACTAGGGGTGGAGGCAAGCTCAGCATGAAACCTCATAGACTGGCTAAAACGGGTGACTCTTTCAAAATTAACTCAATTTGCTTTTTTAATAAACTACCTGACAGTGCAAAATTTGTTGATTGCAATATTTTCAAAAATAGAATTTATAATTGGCTAATTCAAAATCCTTTCTACAGCATAAGTGACTTTATCAAGTGTAATTTTGATGTAAATTTTAATTAAAATAAGCTATTATACCTAATTAATTGTACTTTTTATATTATAATATTTGGATGTATCAGAAACTTTATTGTATTTAGATGATTATTTTGTAATGTACCGGTGTGACATGTCCTATTTCTTTGTAAAAAGATCAATGGAATAAATGATTCTTATTCTTAACAGATGTGTTGATTTACGGTTATACAATCCCAGATAATTGTTAAGCCTGTTATGGGGAGAATGGTATTTTAACAATTAAATGTACATTCATAATATTTTAATCTTTACTACGAAAGAGTATTTTAACTTTTAAGAATGACTTGGGAGCTGTTTCATGGATAAAAAACAAAACAATTAAATAACATACAGCTCTGAGTGTTCAATTTTTTTACATAGGCCTACTGCAACATTCAATGCTCAGAATGCTTTACAGTTAGCCTAGTTTTGTAAAGTATCTACTTCATAATTAGTTACAAACAAGCCTTTCTATAATTCAAATTGATTTTTTTACAAGTTGCTTCTTTTAATCTTTAATATGTTATCGACTTTGTTAACCTTTAAGTTTTTAATATGTCTATTACAATTATGTATTTTGCTGGTTGAATAGACTAATAGGCTTCAGCGAGTATTGTAGAATTTTGATATTAAATACCATCAAGCACTTTAAAGAGAAAATGTTCAGACAGAAACAAAAAATGCTATATATTACCTGTTGAGACTTCTTCGTCCACAAGTTGGAGGGGGGAGGCATTAGCGCAACATTACTGGAGTCACTACCACTTGACTGTACACTGGAAAGGCTTCCACTGCAAGCAAACGTAAACAAAAACTCAGAAAACATGAAAATTATAAGAGTGTTAAGGAACCTTTTATCTAATCAATATTCCCCATTTGAAGTACGAACATCAATGTGACAGCAAAGAACACAACTATGACCTTTCTTAAATCAAATGAAAATCAACAGAGGAAATTTGACCATACTATTAAATAGTATATAAAAAAGTGACGCTCTTCAACCCGAGCTCGTCTCGATCGGATAATGAGACACTTTTTTTTGCTCGTGTGATGAATTAGATTTTTTGTCACTGCACCATTATTTGAACATACTATGTTACAAAACTATATATATTTTTTTTTGCCCTAGGACGCTAGGTACGAGCCTGGGATTGTTTTTCACATTACTTCAGGCTAGACTAGGGGTTGCGGCATTATCAGTTAGATAAAATCCATTGGTGACTTGGTGGGGATCGAACCCGGGACCTCAGGGACTGAAGTCCCGCACTCTAACCACCATGCCAGCTCGCTCCCCACAAAACTATAATAGGCAGACTCTCTGTGGCCAAAACAGCTTACTTCGCACTGGAAGAGTCACATCTTAGATATGGCTTGACAGTGTGGGGAGGAACTTCAACAAAAAATATTAATCAAATCCTTGTTCTTCAAAAGAAAGCCATAAGAGCCCTCGCCAACCTTGTCCCACCACAGACTTGCAGACTAGCATTCGCAAACCTAGGAATCCTCACAGTGGTGTCTCTCTGAGTCTCTACATACTTGAAACCTTAAAGTATGTGGATGAAATAAATCCCCCAAGAAACCAAGACCTGCACCACTACAACACCCGTCATGGCTCCCAATTTGTCCTACCAGTTCACCGAACCACTCTTTGGGACAAAAAAACCCTTCCTACACCGGCCACAAACTGAGAAACCATCTACCTGACTACCTGAGAGACCTGACTGGCAACAAGCTATACCAGGAGTTAAAGAAGTGGCTGATCGCAAGACCTTTTTACTCAATGAAGGAATTTTACGAACATTCTACTATTCTAGAAATTAACATGTACAATTTACTATTGTTATTGTCATTATTATTCTGGACGAATGAACAATAAAGAATATCGTATTGTATTGTATTATATTGTAATAGTTATAATTTAAAGATAACCTCTCAAAACTACTTGTAACTTGTTTTCAATGTAATTTGCTAATGGAAACAAGCAGCTGTTTGGTAAGTGATTCAATCGTTTTGTCTATTACGATTGTGTTACTGTACATTACACTATCGATATGTCGAACTATTTACAATAAGGCAACAATTAACTGCAATCGATTAAACTATCCATACATACTTTTGATACATTAAATTTTGTTTACAATCTACAACTGAGTTGACAACAGCTGACTAGGGGCTAAAAACAATTTTTACTCCATAGAGAGTAATAATGCTACTTTAGACCCGTAACACATGCATTAAAAACGGCTGTTTTTGCTGCAGTATGACGAAAAATAAAATGTCTGTGACCAACCTAAAAAAAACTATCCGCAAGTAGTGGAGATTAAAATTTCAAATTAGTAAGGACGACAAAACATCTGCTTGTTAAGGGTAGGATTTAGGGAGTTAAAATCTTTGAAGTCAAATTTCCTTTTTGGTTTAAGGCTGAAAGATTGATAACACTAATTATCAGGAATACATTTTAAATGAATAGGGGAAATAGGGAATAACATTATTAAAATATAATAAACGGTATCAGCATTCTGACACATACTTTCTCCCATAAGTTTGTCAACAACCTTTATTATGTGTAAACGGTGAGAGTAAATATACGGAAATGGGATTTTGTACAATTTTGTTGAGAATTTAAAGGACTATAACATACTAAATTTTTATCAAAATTGTTCGAGCCAATTTTGGGAAATCCGATTTTTCCGTTATTTTATGGGGTTTTTATGGGGAAATAACATAATTTACAATAACTTTTGAACCGTAATTTTTACAGAAAAGGGATTTGTACCATTTTGTTTAGAATATAAAGGACTATAACATACTAAATTTTTATCAAAATCGTTTTGGGCCATTTTTGGGAAAATCCTATTTTTCTGTAATTTTATGGGGTTTTATGGGAATATCCCCATCTAAAATAAAAATTTCTAAAAAATGAAAAAAACTATCAAAATTGTAAGGACCATAACCTACTATGTTAAATCAAAACTGGATTTTTGTCTAAAATCCTATTTTTCGTTATTTTATGGGGTTTTTAATGGGAAAATAACATAATTTACCATAACTTTTGAACCGTAATTTTTACAGAAATGGGATTTGTACCATATTGTTTAGAATTTAAAGGGCTACAACATACTAAATTTTAATCAAAATCGTTCGGGCCATTTTTGAAAAAATCCGATTTTCCCGGTTTTTTATGGGTTTTTATGGGAAAATCCCCATTAAAAATCAAAATTTCAAAAAAATGAAAAAAACGCCTGGAGATACTATGGATTAGAACCTAAATACCAAATTTCATCGAAATCGGACCACAGGTGTAGTCTCTAGCTCTGTACACATCCAGACACACAGACACACACACACACACACACACAGACATCACTTCGAAAACCACTTTTTTGGGTCCAGGGGGACCCAAAACGAATATATCCACTCAAACTCGAAAATTTTGACGAAAACAATACTTTCTCCATATACTATGGTATAGGGGGGGAAAGTAACAAGAATAAAAAATAGTTATTAGAGGGTTGATAACTAAGAGGTCTAAAAAGCCCTATAGAGGAAAATGTTAAGAGTAAAATCGTCAGTCCAGCCTATTGATTAATTAAGAACCATACTAATTGTAGGTCAATACAACTTAATAGTAAAAAAATTCCCACATTTGAAATATCTTAAAAACATAAACTTCTACCCCTATTTTATTTGATGACACTAAAAACACCCCGTCCCCATATCTTAGGCCCAAGACTAGTGTTTTTGTACATAAAACAAGAATAATTCTATTATTAACAATTGATTAGCAGATAGTAAAGCCTCCTATGTAATACATTTCTAATCTTAGATTCATTAAGTAAAACCAACTTAGTGTTAACTGTCCTTAGGGAGGAAAGTAGGAGGGGTAGAGAATGGAGACAAGGGTTCACTATCACAATACCTGTCTGATGTTTTGATAAGGGCAGCTGGACTAGGGTGGTCCAAAGAGCGCAAAGAAATGGACGAAGTTCTCTTGGGTACCTCTGGTGGAACTCTGCGACTATGGCTGTTCCCATTGCCAGGATACTTCTAGAAGAAACAGAACATCAATACTGAGACAGCAACAGCACCTAGGCCAATGGGACTGTAACATTACTGGCCCTGTACTAAAATTAAAATAGCCTTCAGTAGAGGTTTATCTAAAAACTCAAGATTATTCCTTAATTAGTTATATATTTGAAGATGTAGTTTTAAGTGTATTTACCTGGGGCATGGGATGGTAACTGTTTTCAGAACTTGGGGAAGATGTGGAAGTGACCATGACATCACCCTGTCTCATGTCATTCTCCTGAAATAGACAGATCATCAAATAAAGAGAACTGTATGCAAAAAAATAAACAGACGAGTAACTGATACAATCAATAATGTAAAACATTTTGTAAAGATGATGAAATAAAAACATTTTGAAATTATATTACTGTTTCACTTTAATTAATTAATTAACATTGGATGATTAGATCTATACTTTATATTTTGTTTATAAATTATAACTTACAGCCCGTAAAGATTGTCTGTTTTAATTAGGACTAAAACAGAAATTTTTGTTGAATCAATGTCATTAATGTAAAGTGGTAAATTATTATAGCAGATTATAAATTCATTTTTAAAAACTATTGAACTAGGGCATTCACGGAAGCTTCACTAATAGGATTGTAAATTGTTGTGAGGGATCAGCCGGTAATAAGCTTGAAGACCAGTTCAAGCTGACTGAACTCACGGTGGCGAGAGCTATATTAGGGGGCCTAATCCTGCAATATTATTTTGTCTGAGCAATATTAAGTTACTGTCAATAGACTAAAAAACATTGACTTTAAATAAATGCTTCTCAATATAACCCATCAACATACAAATATAATTATTTTAGTCAACTGTATGAGTTTTAGAAGCTTAGGCCCATAAAATATAAAATTTCCTAATAAAGTAAAAATATACATAATACACATTTCAAAGTTATCCAAAGGAAAACTACTAAATTAAAACTTGTGTGCATCACATGACAAATATCTAAACCAGAACTCTCACAGAGCAAGTGATTAAGTACCTAGTTGCCAGTAGTTATGTAAAGGTCTGTTCGAGCGCAGGATGAGGATGAGAGCCCTGAAATAGGGTACACCCTAGAACAGGGTACACCCTAGAACAGGGTACACCCTAGAACAGGGTACACCCTAGAACAGGGTACACCCTAGAACAGGGTACAGCCCTGAAATAGGGTACAGCCCTAGAATAGGGTACAGCCCTAGAACGGGGTACAGTCCTAGAACGGGGTACAGTCCTAGAATGGGGTACGGTCCTCAAAGTCCGGACACTCAGAGAGCAGTCTTCTGCAGTTCTTTTTCATAGAATCCGCCTATAATTTCCTCGCCATTTTGATCGGCGATCCTATAAGTAACCGGTCTAGTGTTTAGAATTTGTGCTATTGTAAATATCTCCGAAGTCCAGTTTTGTTTATATTTATTCGCAAACACGTCTTTTTTCGTCGTGATACGAACTCTATCACCGAGGTCGAACTTGCTGTTTTTACGAACTTTGTGTTCGCGCTCAATGTACATTTTTAATAGATCAGCCTCGTTATCTTTGTTGACCTCAACTGGTCTCATTTTAATAGTGTGGTGATAATCGTGTTGGTTATACTCATCTGTGACTTCTTGTAGTATATCGTACCACTTGTGGGATTGTCGGACATGGAATTTCACTTTAAGTTTCTCATTCAGTGTCCTATGATATCTTTCGATTATTGCGGACTTCTCTTCACTCTCTGTATGGTATAGTTTGATATTGTGCCTCCTCAACATGTTGTTGAACGGTTTGTTTTTAAACTCTGTACCTTTGTCGGTATGTAAAAGCTTCGGTGCTTTATGACCATCACTGTTTGCTCTTTTTATAATCTTCTCGAAAGCCGTTGTCAACTCTGCCCCGTCTTTTTTCTTTAAAGGTTCGGACCAAACGAATTTGCTAAATGTATCTATGACATTTAAAATGTACTTGTACCACTTGTTCTCCCTAGCGTACTGCTTCATTATTAGTAAATCTGCAGCCCACAAATCATCGATACCCTTGGTGACTATTCGGCGTTTAATGAACTTTTTAATAACCGGCCTGTGCAACTCCTTGGCTTCTAAAACCTCATATGGCTCCTTTATAAACGAGTGTTTCACACTGCCGCACACTGCACATTTTGATGTAGACAACCATCTTTTATTTCTAGTTTTTGTGGTCTTTATGTTTTCAGACGCCGTGTTTATTTTGCACACGCGACAGTACAACTCCATTGCTATATATCGAAATATAGATGTGCTTGTAATATAGACTTTAAATGCGCAAACGAGTCTTAATTAAGTAAACGATTGAGAATTGGTAAAGTGTGTATATAGCACAATAACAATGTGGCATAAACGTAAGATAAACCTGACGAAGAATCAACTAAACAAATTGCGAATTGCTAACAAAAAGCTCAAACGTGCTATACTATATCTCTCCAAGGAACAGCTGAAAAACGGTAATGTTGAAGTATCGCTTGATAGTGACCAACATAAGCAGGTGGAAAGAGCCATAAAAAACAACACTGGAGTGAGGTTGATTTTCGATTATGCCCAACTGAAGGAGATGATTGATGGCGGTTTATTGCGGGAAGTAATGGAGCTGGCTGAAAACAATATTCCTTATTTTAAGAAAGTTGCATCACCACTGATAAGAGGCAAAGTCGCGCCACTGTTGAAAGATCAGTTTGTGCCATGGCTTAAGAAATTAATTGATAGCGAGTTGGATACTCTGATAGATCAAGACGTAAGTGGTGCCGGTTTGACTAGACATATAAACAGAGAACTGAACAGGGTCTTGAGTGGTGCAAAAAAAAAATAAGCCCACTAACAATATCTGACTTGGAGCGTTGGGCTAATGTTTTACGAATAAGAAACTTTCGTGGTGTTTTTATGAGGGAAGCCTTGCCAAACAAACCGCGTGCAAACGAATGTGGAATTATAAATCTAGGCAATTTAGATTCGGGTGGTACACACTGGACTTGTTATATGAAAACAGGCAACCGAGTTACATATTTCGACTCATTTGGAGACGCACCACCGTTGTTGGAATTAAAAGAATAAGAGAACATGGATGATGGTATATTATACAATATGAATAGATACCAGGAATATGACGATCCGCCAATATGCGGTCATCTGTGTTTGGAGGTTTTAAGGAGATTTTCAAATGGTGCGAGTTGGAATGAAATCGAACATGTTCTGAATAATAACAAATATGTATGGTTATGTTGGTTTCTATAATTTTATAAAAAAGTATTTTTATTTTTTTTTATTTTAGTAAAACAAACCTTTTAATGTATATATTTAGACATGGATTATCTTTCGATAAACAGATTTAACGAACTACCCCAGAGTATTTCAGATGGTGTTAGTGAATCTCTAGTTGATGAAAAGATACGGAACTTACAGAATGGATTCAACAGCGGAGCTAAAACAATGTTCAAACAAATAGAGGATAAGCTAATGGGGCATCTAAAAACAACCGATTCTTTGGTGAATAGCATTAGTATATCGGGTAACTATTTGAGTGTTAAAGGGAGACGCATTGTTAACACCGCTAAACCCATAGACAAAAACGATGTCGCAATTAAGGAAGACCTTTTAGAGTTGGAAAAACTCATTAAAAACGCGATCAAAACAACAAAACACATTGTGCCGAAAAAGTCTACTACAACTAATACTGCGGATGTGCTCGAGATTCAAAACCATAAGAGAATAAGCGGCGTTGGTAAGGCCATTGAAGCAAACGATGTTGTGGTAAAACTACAATTGGACGAACTTGTGAATAAAATCCTAGAGTTGGAAACCCGTTATAAAACACTAAAAGAAAACGCAAGAGAAAGCATTAATGATTTATATGACAGTTTACCCAAAAACAATTAAGAATATATTTTTTCTTTGCACCATATATTTATTAGATATGACAATTTTAAAACTGACGGGAAATACATCGTTGTTAAATATCCATTTGGAGCACCCGATCTATTTGGGTGAGAGTTCAAAGTACCAGATAGCGTTGATTGGTTTTTATTCTGAAAACAACATTTATAATTTAGTGCAAACTGCTAGTATGACTTTTGAAAACATACTTACACCTCTGGTGATTAACAGTGGACATTGGACAATGGAATCGCTACAGAAGCACATACGAGGGTTTTTGGAAAAAGCCAGTTTTACTGTGGATATAAATCAGTTCGAAATACTTAAAGAAGGTAATCGTGTTGTTATAAAATCACCACTAAAGTTTCAAATGGATAACACGATGCGCTTTTTGTTGGGGTTTAATGAGGACAAAGATTCAGAGTTATCTAATCACTATAAAGCTGATACTGCGCCAAACTTGCGGCCTGTGGATGTTATCGAAATCCACTGTAATATTGTAAACAGCAGTTATACAAGTCATTCTACACATTATCGCAGACATGACGAATCGTCGATATTGTACCAATTCTTTCCAAAAGCACAACATGGCTATAAGATTTCCGAAACCCCTCAATACCCGCACTATGTACCGTTAAAAGACGGGTTGAATCAAATTCAACAAATTCAAATCGGACTGTTTGATCAAAATGGTACACTATTGCACAATCCTGATTCGAACAGTATTGTGTATTTAGATTTTGTACGAGTATAATTTATTCATAAGATGCAATCGTGTTTTTTTTTATTGCGACCTCGGTTTTATAAAACCGTTTATAATACTCAGCGACAGATGTTGCTAATTTTTTGTTTGTCGTAAAAGTATGTGAATATATATAGGCAGACAGTCATGGAGAACTCTAATGATATCGACTTCTCGGACTTCTTAGATAAAATAAACAGAAGCCGTTATATAAGTGTTGCTGACTTGGAGATTGATAAAAAGTATTTGGTAGAGGATATAGAAATTGTGAGTTCCAAGTATGGTGATCAGATTCAAATTATATGTGGCAATATGAAAATTCGACTTCCTGAGAGTTGGAACGCAAGACTGACACCCAACAATATAAAGAAACTTTTGCGATCTGATAAACCCGTATTTGTTGTATACAAGGGCACAAAATCGCTTAGTGGTACTAGAAAAATGCACGATGTAGTGTTTACAACAGATTGAGAACAGTAGAAGATTATAAAAACAGGTTTTGCAAAAACTACTGAAGAATATTTCCCAAACGACAATTGAAGAAGTTAGGAGTTACTACAATAAATTGTATATGATGAAATATTTAATGAAAGTTTACTATTTTAATATTTTTTTTTACTCACGATC